TGCGCCGACCCAAACCCGGCCTGCTGCCAGCCCCGGGCTGTGCCAGGGGAGCGGGGCAGGCACCAGCGGGCAGGCCGAGGAGGGCGCAGGCAGCCCGGCTGCAGGCAGGACTACCTGCTCATACCAGTCACGCCACCACGCTGCTGGCCAGTTACTGCTGCTCTTTGTGAACAAGCCCAGGAGCGGTCAAAGACACTGCCCACAACCTCGCTTCAGTGTCCTCCAGCAGCCACCACGTGCCCAAGTGTTTTCGGGTGGGTGAGAGCTGGAGGCAGAGCGTGACTGCAGCCACATGGCTGAGGCTGCTTCAACACACACACGTGTTCGAGATGCACAGTGGTCCTCGGCTACCGCGCCGCACGCCTCACCGACAGCCACAGCTCCCAGCCCTCCGTCCTTTCACAGCCCCCAACTCCCACTCCTCATGGCCACTGCCCTGTACCCCCGTGGATGATCCGTGGTTCAAAACGCACCTGGTTTGACCGAACACGGAGGAAGCATCGTTTCCTACAGAACTGACCCGTGGAGGTCACCTGCAGACCTCACCAGCAGTAATTCTGCACCTTCTTCTGACAGTCACCCGGGTAAGGGTTAGGGGAATGGATATTCCTGTCCTAAAGCCACCGCAAATCCCAGCTGACGATGGCCTCCACATGGAGATCCGTGCTCTAAAACCGAGCTGAAGTTACACGCCGAGCACCACATGATGTACACACCAGGAGCCGAAGCCAAGGAATCTAATTTTAGTTACCTGTTTCACCTCATCTTGCAAGCTTAAGAGATTACATTTGGCAAGACCTAGTTTACACAAAAATCGCACATACCGTCAGTACCTCATTACAGGCAAGCTTAAAACCATAAATCCTGAATTTTGTGATTTCCACCTCACAACAGTAACGCGAGTGGTCACACAAGCCACTTATTCATTTCCAAGGGTTCTACTGGCACGGCGAAATAAAAGACACTGGTGGAAGAACTCGGTACTTCAGTACAATGTGCTGATCTAAGCAAGGAAGACACTCGAGTTCATCTTCCAGCTCATACCAGTTAATTGGCACTTGTAAGGGACCCGTCTTCCCTTCCACATTCCAAGAAGCTGACTGGAATTCGGAGCAGCATTATTCTAGCTCCTATCTAATTAAGGCTTTGTCACACCCACTTCTCAAATAGCTCTTTTCATTACTGCTCTGTGTAGCTCCCTGCCTTCTCCCTTGCCCTGTCCTTCAGAGGCAGATTTTCACATGGAGCATTCCAGGGTGCAGGGCCCCAGAGGGAGGGCTCCCCGCCCGGGCTGTCAAGGCACTCACGGGCCGAAGGAAACCACGGCACGTCCGGGAGACCGAACAGAGGGTACGTGGGCGAGGGCTTCAGGCGCGACAGAGACGCTCCTTCCCCGCAGCCGAGCGCGTCCCCGCCGCCACGCCTGCCCGGGGCCAGC